TAGTAGTCGTAGTAGTAGTAGTAGTAGTAGTAGTAGTAGGAGTAGGAGTAGTAGTAGTAGTACTAGTAGTAGTGGTAGTAGTAGTAGTAGTAGTAGCAGCAGCAGTAGCAACAGTAGTGGTCTTAGTCGTACTAGTCGTGGTGGTGGTCGTAGTAGTACGAGTAATAGTAGTAGTAGTAGTAGTAGTAGTAGTAGTAGTAGTAGTAGTAGTAGAAGAGGTAGAAGAAGTAGTCGTAGTAGTAGTAGTAGCAGCAGTCGTGGTGGTAGTAGTAGTCGTAGTGGTCGTAGTGGTATAAGTAGTAGTAGTAGTAGTAGTAGTAGTAGTCGTAGTAGTAGTAGTCGGAGTCGTCGTCGTAGTCGTAGTCGTAGGCTTAGTCGTGATAGTAGTAGTCGTAGTCGTAGTCGTAGTAGTAGCGGTCGTAGTAGTAGTAGAAGTAGTAGCAGAAGTAGTAGTGGTAGTAATAGTCGCAGTCGTAGTAGTGGTAGTAGTAGTAGTCGTAGTAGTGGTGGTCGTAGTAGTAGTAGTAGTAGTAGTCGTAGTCGTATTCGTAGTTTTAGTCGTAGTCGTAGTCGTAGCCGTAGTAGTAGCAGTAGCAGTAGTAGTGGTAGTCGTAGTTGTACTCGTAAGAGTTTCAGTAGTAGTAGTAGTAGTAGTAGTAGTAGTAGTAGTAGTAGTACTTGTAGTCGTAGTCGTAGTAGTCGTACTAAGGGTAGTAGTCGTAGTAGTAGTAGTATTATTATTAGTAGTAGTAGTAGTAGCAGTAGTAGTCGTAGTCGTAGTCGTAGTCGTAGTAGTCGTAGTATTATTAGCAGTAGTAGTAGTAGTAGTAGTAGTAGTAGTAGTAGTGGTGGTAGTAGTCGTAGTACTAAGAGTAGTAGTAGTAGTAGTAGTAGTAGTAGCAGCAGTAGTAGTAGTAGTAGTAGTACTAGTAGTAGTAGTAGTAGTAGTAGTAGTGGTAGTAGTAGTAGTAGTAGCCGTCGTAGTAGTAGTGGTGGTGGTGGTGGTGGTGGTGGTGGTGTTAGTAGTAGTAGTAGTAGTGGTGGTAGTAGTAGTAGTAGTGGTAGAGTAGTAGTAGTAGTAGTAGTAGTAGTAGTAGTAGTAGTAGTAGTAGTAGTAGTAGTAGTAGTAGTCGTAGTAGTAGTAGTAGTAGTAGTAGTAGTAGTAGTAGTAGTAGTAGTAGTAGTAGTAGTAGTAGTAGTAGTAGTAGTAGTAGTAGTAGTAGTAGTAGTAGTAGTAGTAGTAGTAGTAGTAGTAGTAGTCGTCGTAGTCGTAGTAGTAGTAGTAGTAGTAGTAGTAGTAGTAGTAGTAGTAGTCGTAGTAGTAGTAGTAGTATCTTCTCTTGACTCCCATACGAGGTGCCCGAGGGCGCCCTGGGCCAGGTGCCACTGCTCGCCCTGCTTAATGAGGTCTGCGCTCGGCGGGCCCGCAGCGACGGCCGCAGGGAGGCGGGCGGGGACGACGCCCGCGCGGCCGCGGCCGCGCGGAAGCGGTGCGAGGCCCTCGCCGTGGAGTAAAGGGGGTCGCGGGCAACAGTAGGGGGGGGTGGATCCGCTCGGGGGGAGCGCATCCACCCCCAATCGCCCACTCGTCGTCGGCAGGGGTCGGGGAGCCCCGCTCCGTGCAGGAGCGTGCGGAATTGCCGGGTGCGGCCTACCGCCGGTACGCACGCACACGCACGCACGCACACGCACGCACGCACGCACACGCACGCACGCACACACACCACACCTCACCACACCACACCTCACCACACAACAACGCACCACAACACAACACAATTCAACACAACACAGCACAACGCAACACAACATAACACAACACAATACAACATAACACACCACAGCACAGCACAGCACGACACGACACACCACAACACGACACGACATACCACAACACAACGCATCACAACACAATACCCTACCACACCACACCACAACACAATACAACACAATCCATCGCAACGCAACACAGCACAACCACGACAAAACATTGCACAGCGCAACACAGCACAACACAACATTATACAACACACGACAACACAACACAACATGATACAACACAACACAACACGCAGTGCACACACGCGAGAGAGGGAACAACCCACCCCCACCACCCACCATAATGTTTCCTTATATATGTTCCGGAATGCTACGGCGACGATTGCGAACTGCGACGTTTCTTAGTTTGCAAATCGTCTTAGTTTGCAATGTTCAACAGTTTTTGCGTGTTCTATGAACGCAATCCTGCGTTTAATGCAATAGCGCCATTACGCGTGCGCGATGGCGCGATTTGAGCAACGTCCCAGGCAATTTCGTTCATGGCAGTTTTTGTACTGACAAGTTGTGGGTGCTTATTGAACACCCCGTTGGTTTTCTAACGAGATGTGTTCCCGGCCCTCCGCGGCTGCATACTTTGAAAGTTGCCAGGGGCTCTCACATGAGGCACATGCAGCTGACGGCAGTCGTCGGGCCACGGACGCGAGAGTGAAGCGTTCAACATAGAACGTGGGATGTGGTGGGTGTGGCGGTGGCTTGCGCCGCCTTCACACACACATAGACTTACGCGCGCACACACTCGGCTAGAGTTCGTCGATGTGTCACCCGCTCCTGTTCCAGGCCCCCTCCTAAGCCAGCCCCCCTGACCCGGTCACCCTCTGCCGTTCGTCCCCCGGGCTCTTGTCCCAAGCATCCTGTCGTGTTGGGTTGTCGTTTTGAAGACACAGCGCCCCGCGTTTCTCCTCCTCCGCCTCCGCCTCCTCTCTTATGCCTCTCCCCCGCGCACTACAGCATTTCGGGGCCCCAGAGGGGGCTCCACGGAAGGTCCCAGTGGCGCAGTTCGCATGCGTCTCCCCCGCCCAGCATAGCGCTTCGTGGCCCCATAGGGAGCTCCACCGAAGGTCCCACTGGCGCAGTTCGCATGCGTCTCCCCCACCCAGCATAGCGCTTCGTGGCTCCCCATAGGGAGCTCCACCGAAGGTCCCAGTGGCGCAGATCGCGTGTGTCTCCCCCAGCCAGTACAGCGTTTGGTGGCCCCCGAGGGAGCTCCATCGAAGGTCCCAGTTTCGCAGTGCGTAAGCGTTTCCCCCGCCCAGTACAGCGCTTATCAGCCCCAGAAGGGGCTCCACCGAAGGTCCCACTGGCGCACTGGCGCAATTCGCATGCGTCTCACGTTCCCAGCACAGCGCTTCGTGGCCCGAAAGGGACCTCCACCGAAGGTCCCAATGGCGCAGTTCGCATGCGTCTCCCCCGCCCAGTTAAGCGCTTCGTGGCTCCATCGGGAGCTCCACCAAAGGTCCCACTGGCGCAGTTCGCATGCGTCTCCCCCGCCCAGAATAGACCTTCGTGTCCTCATAGGGACCTCCACCGAAGGTCCCAGTGGCGCAGTTCGCATGCGTCTCCCCCGCCCAGTACAGCGCTTCGTGGCTCCATGGGGAACTCCACCGAAGGTCCCAGTGGCGCAGTTCGCATGCGTCTTCCCCCACCCAGTACAGCGCTTATCAGCCCCAGAAGGGAGATCCACCGGATGGCCCAGTGGCGCAGTTCGCATGCGTCCATGCCACCCAGCATAGACCTTCGTGGCCCCATGTGGAGCTCCATCGAAAGTCGCAGTGACGCAGTTCGCATGCGTCTCCTCCCACCTAGTACAGCTCTTCGTGGCCCCAGAGGGAGCTCCACCGAGGGTCCCAGTGGCGCAGTTCGCATGCGTCTCCCTCTCCCAGTACAGCCTTGCGTGGCCCCATGGGGAGCGCCACCGAAAGCCCCCGTGGCGAAGTTTGCATGCGCCTCCCCCACCCGGTACAGCGCTCCGTGGCCCCCAGGGAGCTCCACGGAAGACGTTACAGTGCCGTTTTCAATGCATATTCCGCGTGCGGATCATGTACTTACAAAATGCAGGGATGTAGTATTGAAAACAACGATGAGTGCATGCATCAATGTATTCATACATTAATTCTGTATTCAAAATCCCATGTGTTTAGAAATCCAATGTCTTAAAAACTGCATACTATCATCCCATGTATCAAACATGGGATGGGATGATAGATGGTTCATACATTCATCATGTATCAAGCAATCCCATACTTTTAAGCATCCTATGTCTTCAAACAAACTACCCTGTATATCCACACATGGCGGCACCCACGGCTGCAGCCGGCGGGGCTCCGTCGCTGGGCTGGTCTTGCACTGCGCCTCGGCCCTTCGCCAGCCGCGGGGCACGCTCGGGGGCATCCCCGGGAAGGATGCTGATGCTCTTTCGGCGAGGCGGCGCCGCTGGAAGGCACGTCGAGGCTGGACGGCCGCCGAGACCCCACAGTGCCGTTTTCAATAAAGGCTCCGCGTGCGGATCATGTATTCAACATGTCGGGGCTTAGTTTTAAAAACAGCGATGAGTTCATGCATAAATGCATTCATACATCAATCATGGATTCAAAATCCTATGTATTTAAAATCCTACTCGAAGGCCTAGAGGTTGACACCAACACCAATTTCGGCGGTGTGCCTCCACCGAGGGAAGAAGATCCCGACTTCGGTGATGGTGGTAACATTTTGGCGTCCAGGGTGGCCGAAGTATTACCGCCAACGCCGAAATCCAGGAGCATCTTCCCCCTGTGGCGGCGACCCCCTGTGTTGGTGTTGGTGCCCACTTCCAGGCCCCCAAGAGACCCTACGGAACCGCCCGGAGGCCTCGAGCCTCGAGCCTCGAGCCTCGAACCGTCTCGATTCCAGGCGGGTGTCCTCCCTTTTGCCCACGGTCAGGAACGTTTGCCCCTCACAGGCGGGCCCATCAGGAGGACGACAGAGAACGGCATCGGCAAACTGTTTCGGAGTTCTGCCCCGTTCTCTCGGATCAGCGCTGGACCCCCCTGGCGGCGCCTCAGGAGGAGGAGGAGGAGGAGGAGGAGGAACATGAGGAGGGGGAGGAGGAGGAGGAGGAGAAGGAGTAGGGAGGAGGAGGAGGAGGAGGAGGAGGAGGAGGAGCAGGAGGAGAAAGGAGGAGACTCATCAACGATGTTGAAAGATACCCTCAAAGCTCCCCCCTGCAATGGCACACTTCCAGTGAGGAATTGCCCCGTCGGGGGAGAAGCGTGTGAAACTTCTGAAGCGTGTTAAAACATCACTCTCAGGACTTCGGCGACACGAGTTGAACTGATTGCAAGGTCTTGGTGTGACATAACACCACTTCTAGGACGGCAACACCAGGAATCAAAGTAACTGGTGCGCATTGACAATCATGAGTCGGTCCAAGACGCAGTTTCTTGTACGTGAATCATTCGAATAATACCTTTGACAATCCTTTAGAACAAAAGTAAGCGGCGCTGAGGCGATCCGTGAAATTGTTCAAGACTTCAGGACGAATGTGTGCTGCGCCAAGGCCAGAGCTGCATGTTGAAATCGGCCCGTCCTCAATCCGTGAAACTCTTGCAAACTTCTAAGACGAGACTTCGCGGCGCTCAGGCGAGAACCACATTTTGAAAACCACCCGCCCCAAATCCGTGAAACCCGTTCAAATGTCTAAAACAAACGCGCGCGGCGGTTGGGCGAGATCCACATTTTGACCACCACCCGCCCTCCATCTGTGAAACTGTTGCCAATGTTGAAGCCTCACGGTCATAAGTGGTGAGGAAGTCTCAAGCGAAACGCCGGGCCCGCACCCTTTCGACCAGCCTCGGGGAGCGACAGGGAGGAGTTATTTACGATGGCAAGGAATTGGCCGAAGAATACCACATTGCACAATCATAAACTTTTTGGAGGTCCGCGCGGATTTGTTGCATCTGCGTGGGGACCCTTGGCGGCGCCCCCGGCGCCGCCCCTGGCGCGCTCCACGCGCCGGTCCCAGAGATCCGCGCGGAGCTCCAAAGGTTCGTGTCCGTGCAGTGGTTCTGTGGCTCTGCTTCGGGCAGCGGGCTCTGAGGCCTCGCGCCGCTCTCGGGGCCCTTTTGGGGCCCCCCTTGGGGCCCCCAAGGGGCTGTCAGGATGGCGCCCCGTCGGCGTCCTCCAGATGTGCGTGTGCTACGTGCTCGTTGGCCCTCTAGGGGGGGCCGCGCGCGCTCAGGCACCTTCTAGTCTAAGCCAGGAGGCGTGCGATGACCTGGCCACGCCGCCTGTGCAACGATACATGACTCATAACACACACATTTTTATATATATATATATATATATACATAGATATAGAGTGAAAAAAGTGTATATCTATATAGTTATATCTATAAATATGTATGAATGTGTATATGTGTATGTATGTATACACACATATATATATATAAATAAATAAATAGTTGAACTATTATCCGTCTGGCTCGGACGTGCACCTCCAAGGTCGGCGCATAGTACTGGCATGTCCGCCTGCGCCCCAGTTCAGGTTGAAGAGCTGGTCCTGGGGGTCCAGCCCCAGGCTCCAGGGACCCGCCTCTCTCAGGGACCCTCCTCTTTCCCCCGCCGAGGCCTTCCTGGGCGTCCACCCCCACACGGCGCCCTGCACGAGGCCGCTGGAGGAGGGCGAGCCGCGGAGCGAGGCGGTGCGGGAGGCGTGCTGCGGCGAGTGGTCCCTGGACGCGGAGGCCTTCGACTTCAAGGCCTGGGTGCGCGAGGCGCTGACGCCCTGGGCCTCCGCCCTCGTCTTCGTGCGCCGGCTCCGGAGCTCGCTCCGCGCCCGCGGCGGCGGGTGGAGGCAGCTCGGCCTCGACCTGGAGAGGGGCCCCGCGGCGTGGGCGGACGTGGCGCGGGAGCTGCAGAGGCCCTTCTGCGCCCAGGGCGAGCTGTGCGCCCTGCTGGGCGTCCGGCGCCCCGGCGACGCCCCCCGCGTGCTCGCCACCGTGGCTGCGCAGGCGTTCCTGCACGGCTCCTCGCAGCTCCGCCGGACCGCCGCCGCGGGGGGCGCCCTGCGGGAGCCGCTGGGCGACGTGCGCGACGGCGACACGCTGCGGGGGCTCTGCGTGGACCTGCGCATGGCGATCTACGAGGAGCGCGGGAGATCCGAGGCGGGGATTCGTCAGTGGTCACCGCCTGGGGTTTCGACTTTTGGAGACCTCGGTGGGCGATGGGTGTGGATATGTTCGAAAAAGCGCGTCCTGTGGTCGCTTGAAGGGGGGGGGTTTGGAATCAGAACCCCCCCCCTCCCCCGGGATGGAGCGGGGGGGGTTCGAACCCTCCCCCCCCCTTCCGTGACGGATGGGGGGGGGGGTTCGAACACCCCCCCCCGCTCTCGTGACGGAGGGGGGGGGTCGAACCCCTCCCCTCCCCTCTCCTCAGGCTGGCGCTGCGCTTGGGTCGGCGGCGGCCGGCGACGGCGGCGGGGACGACGATTTCAATTTCTTGGCCAGCGCCGGCGCCTGCGGCGGCGGGCGGCGGTGGCGGGGAGCGTCGACGAGGACGACTGGTGGTGGTGGTGGTGGGTTGTGGTGGTGGTGGGGTGGTGGTGGTTGTGGTGGTGGTGGTGTGGTGGTTTGTTGTGGAGGTGGTTGTGGCGGTGGGTGGTGGTGGTGGTGGTGGTGGTGGTGGTGGTGGTGGTGGTGGTGGTGGTGGTGGTGGTTTGGTGGTGGTTGGTGGTGGTGGTGCTGGTGGGTTGTGGTGGTGGTGGTTTGGTGGTAGTGTGGTGGTGGTTTGTGGTGGTGGTGGTGGGTTGTGGATGTGGCGGTGGTTTGTGGAGGTGGTGCTTGTGGTGGTGGTGGTGGCGGTGGTGGTGGTGGTGTGGTGGTTTGTGTTGGTGGCGGTAGTGGTGCTGGTGGGTTGTGGTGGTGGTGGTTTGGTGGTAGTGTGGTGATGGTTTGTGGTGGTGGTGGTGTTGGTGGTGGTGGGTTGTTGATGTGGCGGTGGTTTGTGGAGGTGGTGCTTGTGGTGGTGGTGGTGGCGGTGGTTGTGGTGGTGTGGTGGTTTGTGGTGGTGGTGGTGTTGGTGCTGCTGCCGGTAGTGGTGGTGGTTGTGGCGGTGGTGGTGGTGTGGTAGACTGGTGGTGGTGGTAGTTGTGCTGGGTTTTTGTGGTGGTGGTGGTGGTTGTGATGGTGAGTTGCGGTGGTTGTTGTTGTGGTTGTGGTGGTGTGGTGGTGGTGGCTTGTGGTGGTGGTGGTGGTTGGTTGTGGTGGTGGCGGTGGTTTGTGAACGTTTGTTGGGGTGGTGGTGGTGGTGGTGGTGGTGGTGGTGGTGGTGTGGTGGTTTGTGGTGGTGGCGGTTGGTTGTACTGCTGGTACTGGTGGTGGTTGTGGCGGTGGTGGTGGTGGTGGTGTGGTACTTTGGTGGTGGTGGTAGTGGTGGTGGGTTTTTGTGGTGGTGGGTTTTTGTGGTGGTGGTGGTGGTGGTGGTGGTGGTGGTTGTGATGGTGAGTTGCGTTGGTAGTTGTGGTGGTGGTGGTGGTGGCTGTGGTGATGCTGGTGGTGATTGTGTGCTGCTGGTCGTGGTGGTGGTGGTGGTTGCGGTCGGTTGAGGCGGTGGTGGTGATGGTGGTGGTAGTGGTGGTGGTGGTAGTGGTGGTAATCGTCGATGCGTCCCCGCCGTCGCCAGCGCTAGCGCCGGCGCTGCTGGCCGCCGCCAGCGCCGGCGCCGATGGGGGGGGGACCCCCCACCCCCTTTGGGAGGGGGGGGGTGTTTGAACCCCCTCCCTTCGGCTGCCTTTGGTCATCGTCGCTGCGTCCCCGCCGTGGGCGCTGCTGATCCGAGGGGGGGGGCGGGGGTTTGAACCCCTCCCCCTTGGGAATGGGGGGCGGGGGGGGGTTCGAGGGAGCCACCTCGGCAGAGCCTATCTACGGGGCGCAGGGGCTCAGCGAAAACATTGGCCAGGTCGCGAAAGGCCGAGGAGGGGAGCCCCCCTGGTTTTGATCGACGGCGCCGAGTGTTGGGGGGGGGGGCCACTCCCCGGTTTGAAACGCGCCGCCGAATGTTCTCAAGGCGAGCGCCCGTGAAACGCGTATGTGTTCGGGCCCTGGGGGAGAACAGAAATCCATATCCACCGCCTTTTCGAGTTTCCGAGGCTCCGAGGATCGATCCCCCGGGCGGTGGTCATGGACAAATCCACGCCTCGTAGAAAAACATTTGCGGCATCAGCACGCACTTCTCTTCTGAGGTCCTCGCGGATTTTTCGGATCGGCGCTGGACCCCTTGGCGGCGCCGCCCCCCGGCGTGGTCCGCACGCCAGGGAGGGGGGCCCAGCGCCGACCCAAGGACTCCACGCGGACCTGAAAAGAAGTGTTTGCGTGTGTGTGTGTGTGGTGTGGTGTGTGTGGGTGCCGTTCTGGCGTTCCTCTTCCCTCCCCCTTTGCTTTGCGGCTTCACTCGCACTCGTACGTCTTACTATAATGCTCCTCCGCCAGCGCAGTCGCCTCTGCCTGGCCGCCGACGCCAAAAAGAGCATGTGGGTGCCGCGTAATCTCCTCTCCTTCGAGAGGAGCGCGTGGCCGCGAAGATGCGCGAGTGGAGCGTCGTGGGCGCGTCTCTGGTCTACCAGCGTGCCAGGGTCGCCGACCTGTCGCAGTACGCCGGGCTCCTCGGCAGCGGCCACACCCACGGGCTGGACAAGCCCACGTTCTGGGGCCTGTGGCGGGCGGCCCGGGCAGGGGGCGCAGACGCGGAGAACGCGAGGCTGTTCTTGAGCCGGTCGAACGCCGGCTTCGTGAACAAGCACGGCCGGTGATTGCACTTGTTCGGCGCTGCTGAGGTTGGCGGGGAGAGGGAGACAGAGTGAGGCAGAGAGGGCGCGAGAGAGGAAGAGAGGTGTGAAGAGAAAGAGAGAGAGAGAGAGAGAGAGAGCGCGCCGCGTGTCCCCACGCTCCCCCGATGTACAGTCGCCGGATCAGTTGTTGTACAGAAGCCAGTCCGGCAGCCGAGGGGCGGGCAGGGAATCTAGCGGAGTGCCGATTCCCGAGGACAAGAAATGCACGCTCCAAGGAATCCAATGGGGGGGGGCCGTGTTGGTTGGCCCCTGGTGCGATGTCGCTCTTCGCCAGGGTGCAAAAGGGTCTCTTCGCATCGGCAACTTGCACCAATTTTCGTCTCTCTCTCTCTCTCTCGCTCGCTCCTTTGCTCTGGACTTTTGCTCCTCTCTGTCTGCCCTTGTTTAAACTGATAGCCACCGTGGACCCACACAGTGATTTCTTGCTTCCTGTGGTGCAATGTGGTGCAAGCCATGTGGTTCAATCTCTGCGGTGCAAATTGCAATGCAATGCCGACTGCAAAGGGATGCAAAAAGCAATGCAGCGCAAGGCGATTTCAAGGCAGTGTGCAGTGCGATTGCAGGGCAGTGCGATGACAGAGCACTGTAAAAAGCAAGTGCATGCAGTGCGACTGCAATGCAGTGCACTGCGACGGCAATGCAGTGCGCTTGCGATGCGCGTCGAGCGCGGGGTGACCAACGGGGCGGCGGCGACGCACGGGGGCGGGGGGCCGCCTGGCCCGCACCCGGGCCCGAGGCTCGGGAGCAGTGGTGCGGGGGGATGGTCGGGCACGGGGCCGCCGGGGCCGCGCAGAAGGCCCAGTTCGGGGGCACCGATGGGGGGGCGATGGGCCTAAGAGGGGACGCATCGACCCTGTAAGAACGGTTTTTTGAAGGCAGATCTGCCTTCAAAAAATCGGTCTACTCTGTAAGAACGGTTTGTTGGAAGGCAGATCTGCCTTCAAACAACCGTTCTTACAGAATCGCCCATGGATCGCCGAGAAGGGTCCGATAGTCACCTCACCCAGGGGCGTGGGGGATGTGCCATCGTGGGCACGTCGCCCAGCTATCGGCGTCGTGTCGCCGATTCCAGGTCGATGCCTCCCCCCCTGTGCCAGTCCGCCCCTCCTATCGTTGCCCCTCGCCACCTCCTCAGAAGGGAAGCAGTACCCCTAGGTGCGAGCTTTGTATAGGAAGCATCGGCTGTACGCGGAAGGCTGGTCCTTCGCCGGGGTGACCTTTGGTTCGGGCCCGCAGGGACCCCCTCGGCAATGGCCCGCGCGCTTGCATCCTTGGGAACCCTGGAAGCCGCGCGCAGCAGGTCACTTTTGTCCAGGATCACCCCTTGTGTGCAGCCGAGCCATAGAAGAGAAGTCGCAAGACTCCGATCGGCATGTCCCTCGCTTCTTCCCTAACGGGTTCCGTTGACATGGTCGCCCTGCTGGGAGGACGCTGACCCCGCCCCGCGCGTCCCTTGGCGGCACTCGTCGCGCGGACAGCTTGCATGGCTGCGGCGGCCCTGCGGGCTCCCCCGCGCTCCCGACCCGAGCCCTTCCCCCTCGTCGGCGCTGTTCTGTCCGACCTTGTGCCTCCTGCGCTGCCGCTTCTCGGTTCCTGCCGTGATGCGCTTCCACCGTCACTCTTCACTCCGACGCCTTCCGCCGGGGCTTTTTCGAGCCTCAGTAGAGGATGAGCAGATACCGGTACCGCCACTCTTCCCTCTTCGCTGCGGCTGGATTCCCCTCGCAGTTCGTGCCGCAAGGAGCCCTGGGGGAGGTCTGGGGAGTACGTAGTGGTAAGTCGGGCATGTCCCTCTACAGGCGGGAGATTCAAGCATAGTTGAACATGTTCAGGAACCGACTTTAGTTTTTTGACCATGTATTATTTTCCGTCCCAGATCTATTTGACTCTTCGTCCATAATCCGCCCGAAGGAGGATATGCCCGACCTAAACGCAGTGTTCGGTGTTCGACCTTGGCCCCCTCGTGGAGCGCGACCGCCGCAGGCCTGCGCGCGCCGATTGCCGCACACCGCCGGAGCCCACCGGCAAGAGCTCACCACCGCAAGGGACACCGCCGGAGAGACCGCCGAGGGGCCCCGCGCGGAGAGGCCGCCCGCGGGCCTGCCGGAGACCGGCCGAAGAGCGTCGGAGGAGTGCCGAAGACGGCCGAAGACTGTTGGCGGCGCGCAGAGCCCCAGGGGGCTCGTTTAGGTACCGTTTGGGTACCTTTTCGGACCACCCTCGCCACCCCCCCATTTATGACCCCCCCATTACGCGACGCCCAAGAACGTCACGCCGGTTGATCTCCGGCAACGCGCAGAGGGGGAGGGGGGTAGGGGGAGGGGGGAAGGCTTCTTAGAAGCACCCTGCTTCTTAGAAGGCGCGGGCCTTCCCTGTAGACGTAAGGCCGAGGCCTTCCAAGAAGCAGGGCGCTTCTACCAAGAAGCCTTCCCCCCTCCCCCTACCCCCTTTTGCGCGCCGCCAAGACTGTCTGGGCCTTCCAGGTGGGGTCGGAGGGCTGCGCCGCATCGCCGATGCATCGCCTATACGGCCCGATGTCGAGCCCGATTTGCGTCACGCCGACGTCGACGATGCACCGCCGACGTCGACGCTGCATCGCTGGTGCATCGGCGATGCATCGCCGATGCATCGGCGATCCGCCCGACCCCATCTACTCCGACACCATCTAGGAGGCCTCTAGACCGTCCGACGACTGCCAGAGACGGAGCTGTCGCTGTACAGAAGCCGGTCCGGCAGCCGAGGGGCGGTGGGTGCCGCAAGGCGCCCTGGGGGTTTTGGGGAGTACGTGGGGTTAGAGAGGTGCGCGATTGTCAGGAGGAAAAGAAGCACACAGACACAATTAATCCTCGATTTCCCAGAAGATATGGGAAAATGTGGGAAGTGGGCGGGAAGACAGAAACCCAGAAAATATCGGAAAGTATAGGGGGATTGTTTTATTCGTGTGTATGTATTTGTGTGTCCTCGGGCCCAGATTGGAGCGCAGCCGCCAGGCCCTCGCGCCGAGGGCCGCAGACCGCCAGAGCCCAGCAGAGACCGCCAGAGGCCGCCGGAGACCGTGCGGAGACCGCCAGAGTCGGCGGTGGACAGAACCGCCAACAGTGACACGTCGATTAGTGAATTGTCCGTTTTCGGTTCTCGAGAGGGTTCCGCGGCCGTTATTTTTCAGGCTTGCGCCCGCCAGGTTTGGGCCTCAGGTCGTTTTCACTAAACCACTTTTTACTAAAGGGAGGTCTGTCCATCCCCGACAGAGACGGCCGAAAAGTTGCAGAAGAACGGCGAAGACGGCGAGGGGCCGACGGGCAACAGCAGGGCTCGTCTCGATGCGACCGACACGACGCGCTTCGAGCGTGCTGGCTTCCGATGCCGAATCGATTCGGCTTGGGGTGCCGATTCGGGGTCCGATTTTTCTCAGCGGAGGCCTGCTAGCCTGCCGATGTCCGCCGATTCGAGTTCTCCAGAGTCGGCTGCCGATCTCCGCCGAACCGATTCATTTCGGCGGAAGATCGACTTATCGATTCGATTCTCGGCTCTCCTGCAACAGGGGGCCCATGGTCGAACACGTGGCGTGTCGGGATCGGTATCTCCTGTTGTTCCCCAAGGGTCGGCCAGCCACAGCCAGGCGTTGCAATGTTGTCCCACCGGGCGTTTTGCCCAGTTTCGGGCCCCAGGTCCGTCACATATCGACCCATTGCGACAACTGGCGCAGAAGCAGAGGGTCCAGGGCTGTGGTCGTGATTTCTGACAAGCATGGTGTCTGGGGCTCTGGTCGTGATTTGTTTGACGATGGCTTACTCCTCTCGCGACGTCGGATCTCCGGGTGCGAGGGCCCTGCCACGCCGGACACGGCCGGAAAAAAGCCCTCCGCTGTGTGTGTGTGTGTTTCTCGGCGGCGTGCCCCGGAGGCGGTGGCTTTTCGGAAGGCTCGGGGGTGGATAAACCTCATACCCTGACACGTCGATTTAGGAATTGGCCGTTTTCGGTTCGCGAGTGGGCGTCGCGGCCATCATTTTTGCGGGTCCAGGTCCGCCGGTTTCGGTCCTAGGCCGTTTTCACTAAAAGGAGGCTTGCTAAAGGGAGGTTTGTCCACCGCCGAAAGGCGCGAGTGTTTTCGAGAAGCCTTGCCGCCTTGGATGAGACGTAAGTCGGGCCTGTCCCTCTACAGGAGAACTGTTCAAACAGTGTCAAAGAAACAGGCTGGGGATTAGTGTTGCTCATTTTGGAGTATTTTCTGGGGTATTCTTACGTTTTCGCCCAAAATCCCCCTGTAGGGGGACGTGCCCTGCCTGATACAAGGCCTGTCCCCCTCTCGTTTCCCCCCCGAGGCTCGACGTCGAGTCGTTGTTCCTCCGCCGCGCGGGCAGGTCCGAGTCCGGGGGGGGGTCCGGGGTCGCCGCGCGGTCTTGGGCCAAGTTATGTCGGGCGTGTCCCCCTACACAGGGATTTTCGACGAAAACCAAAAGATACCCAAAAGATATGCCAAAAAGGTTAAACAACTATTCAAGAAATAGTACCCGGACTATTTGTTTTTTCTTGTTTGATTATTTTTGGGGTATTTTTTAATTTTTCGTAGAGAATCCCTCTGTAGGGGGACAGGCCCGACGTGAGTCTTGGGGACGCGGGTCGCTCTTCGAGGCCGCCTCGGGCGGCCGCGGCCTCCGAGGCCCCAGAGCCCGTGGGGCTGCGGGCCGCGCTGCTCAGTCGCTGGGGCTTCCGAGGCCACTGCGCGGCGCCGCACCGCTCGAGGGGCCCAGGGACGCACAAATAGATGCACACAAACAAAATAATCCCCCCTTCATTCGTTTTTTAATATTTTGGGTCTGCGGGTCGAGAGCGAGCCTCTTCCGGTTAAGAGCTAGGCGGGCCGCGCAAAGCACTAATTGGGGAGACAGGGCGCGGGCGGGCGGGGCCTCACGCGGCCGGAGGGCTCAGAGTACAGGCGGTGCCGAAGATCTTGCACAGGACAAGGTACGCCAGAGGGAGAGTGGATTAGACTAATACATACACACACATAAAAGGATCCCCCGTTTTGCGTTTTTTTTATGGGGGTTTTCGTTCCCCCCCCACTTCCCATATCTTACCGCATTTCTGGAATTCGACGATTCATTGTGTCTAGGTTTTTTCCCCCCTGAATCACGCGGCTCCAGGCCCCGAGGCACGCCGTCCGTTTGCTTGTTCCCCCGCTGGGCCGCGCACGTGCCGCCAGTCATGATTTGCACCCCCCCTCTTGGACACCCCTCTTGGCCGCTCCCGACTTGACCCGGCGTCACCCCAACACACTTGCACGATATTTAAGTCGGGCTTGTCCCTCTGCAGGAGGAATATTCAAAGATAGTCTCGGAATA